TGAGATGAATGTCATGTTGCATGATATAGACAGCATGTCTATCTACTGCATGAGTAATGAGTTGTGTCAGCTCTCTTGTATCATAAAACCTCTTTGTTTTTGGCTGTTATGTAGAATTACATCTTGGCTTCTCTTCCATTAACAGGAAGAATTTTAAAGGCTCCATGCCATGTTTCAAGAGGTCTGTTAGTCACATCACTGAAAAGCCAAAGTTAAAGTGAGGAGATTTTGAGAAGGGCATATCATAACTCACTCATTCGTGATTTAGCATGTGTAGTGATGATTTTTGTTACTCATCATTCTTCTGGGATGTTTGTGCTTCCTAGACCTAAGGAATTGTCACCAGGCTGTCATTCCAGTCCTTGCCTGAAATACAGAACACGTTCACTTCCTTAACACCAGAATGCAAAAGGTGGAACCCTGGCCCCATCTACATCTGGGAGGTTGACCATTGACCTCAGTGGGGCCAAGATTTTACCCAAGTTCCTAATAAACCCTGCTTGCCGTTGGGATACTTCCAATGCTTTCCTTCTGGGATTCCCTTTTTCCTGTTGGAGCTATGTTCTGCTATGTAGTTATGTTCGAAGCACTACTGGCTGTTCCTAGAAATGGGCATCAGGCTGCCAAAGAATGTTACCTTTCTCCACTTGCTGATTTTGAAGTTCACTAATCTTTGCTGCCCAGGGACAACACCTTAGGTCAACTAAGCAACTTGAGTGTATCATGTTGAAATAGAATGATTTTTACAGAATGATTCTGGATACAATCAGGAATAGACATTTTTACACAGAGAAAGTAGAATCTTGGTTTAAGAGGTTTTTGTCCAAAATATGCACAGCATTCTTTTGTCTCACAAGTGAAAGGGCTACTCTGGAGATAGAATTTTACTCCTTATTCTCAGATCACTAACCAACCTCCTACAACTCCGAGCTCATGCTATTCCAGTTCAGCTTCTTTCTCAGTAGCCCCAAGGAGGTTTAGGGTATGTCTAGAAGACCTTGTAAGTGAGCTTTGGAACACTACTGAGAAATAAGCCTCACCCCCTGGTGCCCAGACCTACAAATTTCCAGAGCTCACAGTTTAGAGCAGCCCTGTGCACACTCCCAGCAGTGCACTCTGGCTCTCTGTCTCAATGAGCTCCTGTCTAGCTCACTTATCTAGTATTTCCTAGAATGTGAACAAAATCAGCAGCCTCTCTGTGAATTTATTACTCATAGTAGCTTCTAATTAACTAAGTTTCCCTGTGCAGACAATATTGCACAAACAGAAGGACATGCAGGTGAATCATCCACTGTGCAGAAGGGATGCTGATCCTTTTGATTCAGGTGTATCCTACTATACATCCTGTGCTCTGAAGATATAAAGGTTCAGGACAGAGGCACAGCTGAAAGTCAGAAGCACTGTTTAGAATTAAAGAATGAAACTCATGTGCTTCTTAGTTTGTTTTGTTTTATTTCTTATTTTGTGAGGTTTCAAGTGCTTTGGTAAGATGAGAAACAATGGCAAAAGTTGCTTTTTTTGTGCCACGTTGGCATCTCTATTGCTGTCTGGAATCAGAAAGAACATAAATATGAAAATAAAAGTAATGGGTGCAAAAGGTTACTACATTCTAAAAGAAGGTAGATAAAGTTTGACATTTCTATCTAAAATGTTTTGCAGATGCTATTTAAAATGGGACAGAATGAATTTCTTCCTAAAACCAGCAAGCAAACACCCTCTCAGTTATTAAACTAATACAAAGAAAACTGCAATCAGTTTAATAAACTGAATCCTTAAGGGGCTGCTCTTCAAGTAGCTTCATTGAATAGAGGTGCCCTGTATAGCCGTGGGTGGTTTTATTTCCTTTTTTATTATTTTCTTTATTTATTTATTGTTCTATATAACAAATAGTTTTCTTTGAGATGGGCCAAATTACATCTACCCACACCCTCCGTGCAGTTTACGGGGTTATGGTATTGCACAAGTTATCCAGGGATACTTCTGATATCAATCTTGCAGCCTATTCAAAACAAGGATGGGGAGTCAAGGTTTTCTGTGCCAACATTCCTGCAGCACAACTCCATTATCTGTGGGGGAGTCCTCTTTTCCAGTGTTCCCTAGCTAGGCTGCACTGCCTGTTGGGAGTTCACAGATAGAGCTGAGAGACACCACAGGAAGTATGAACGGACTGGAACGCTATCACTTATCCCTTTGTAACTGGCTCTCATTGTGGATGAGGACAAAAATGAAAAAGGCTCCTTTTCCCAATAAATTATCGCAGCCCCAGTACCCTCCCTAAAACCTTCCTGTAAGTTCACAGAGCACAATCGGAGTACACTGAACAGAGTTCTTGTCCTCAGGAGTAACATGCCATGTGCTAAGCTGCTTCGAGCTCCCCCATACTGAAGTGTGCATTTATTTACAGCATTAACAGTGAATCAAACCTCTCTCTCAAGCTTCTACTTGACACACCATCAATGACCTCAGTATATATAACAAGATCAGTGATTCTCACACAAGGATGATGTGCCATCCCAAGGTGCCACAAGATTCTTTTAAGGGTGATATGCAGCATTAGTATTACTAGGTGTGTGAACACCTACACAATTCACAGGATAAATCCAGAGATTTCAAATAGGAATCCATAATATCAAAAACATTCTAACCCATCTTTCTGAGTTCTTTGTAATCAAGAAATTGTGCTACTATTGTTCCATAGTCAAGAAATGAATTAAAGCTAAGAATTGTCAAGAGATGCACTGAGTCTATAAAGGTTGAGAACCACTGAACAAGATCACAGACAACAGATTTCCAAATTCAGATCATTGTCTCCAGCTCCTGTAACATTTTGTAGTTATTTGTTTTGTAGAGTTCATTTATCTTTATTTACATAATCACAAAGGTCTGACATAAAAGCAGAAAAGGTGGGGAAAAGACAGACCTTATGTTCCACTTTTTGTTTGTATTCTGATTTTTTTAGTAGAAATAATTATCATTCTTTGAGAGAGGGAGGTTTCAAGCCCTGAGGTTGCAGAATGATGTGGGCCAGCACCGGCTGTAAACACAATGCCCTTGTTGATTTTCAAATGTAAAGTTCAGAACCGTTTGAGAGATGTTGGAATTTTTAAGTGATGCGTTAAATGTTGGGGAGGGGATTTCATTTTTTTTTTTTGGTGCATGCCTGGTTGTCAGTCAAATGTAGCAGTAAAATCAGCTCCAATTAAGGGGATATGTAAGGAATTTCATGATAATGTCAACACTCCATTTCATCATTACAGAGGTAAAGAAAAGAGGCAAAAGTTAATTTATTATTTTTTTTAATTCAGAAAACCTCCCATTAAACTTGTTAGTGGTATCACCATATACACAGTTAATCACAGAGTTATGTGGCCTGGTTGACAATTCCTTAATTATCCTGTGGGCTTTTGCTTTGTTTTTTCTAGTGGGGGCCCTGGGTTCTGTTTCACTTGCTTTATGATTACTCCATTGCTGACCTAACTTTCTCCAGCAGACTGGCTTTAATTCTGTAGGAGTTCAGTTTCTCTTCCATTAACCCCTTAGTGCTGTGAGTCAGCATCACCTGGGCCAGTGAATTTGAGTTTAATACAGGGAGATCCAAATAGCTAAAGCCTGTAGTATAACGTACAGATAAAAGTTAAACTGCTACTACAAATTCAGGAAAGTAATCACTTATTCTAGCGAATAGAACAATGGACTGGGTCCTGAAGATGCTTTGAAAATGACTGACAGAACATGAATATGGTCAGACTGCTTCCACATTTTACTGATCTTTCACCAGCAAAATGGCCCCTTTTGTTGCAGTCCTGGGGCTGCTCTAATTTCCACTAGGGGCTGCATTCTCCTTTAGTTTTCCTACAGTTAAGTAAAAGTGAAGTTACTTTTAGACCACCTTTAACTTGGACCCTAACCACCCCAACTGTCCCATGGAGCCAAGCCTAAAATGCTGGTATATTTGCATCATCTTGTCCTATCCAGTGTTCTTCTTCATCTTCTATTGGCTGCACACCCTATATCCAATGGTGCTGATTTTGTGGTGATGCGGTATGCTCTGTTTTATAATTTTATTGGTAAATCAATTTAATCCTTTGGATATTCAAAACTGAATACTGGGCACATCTACATGTGCATTAATGAACCATAGTTACTGCACATTAAACTTAGTACCTGTAACAACAGGTACTAACTCAATGCACAGTAACCAGCACTACTGCGCAGTAGCACCAGTGTATACCTTTTTAGTGATCCTAATGTGCAGTAGACTATTTCTACTGAGCATTAGTGCAATAGCACAGCTTTTGCCATGACAAGCTAATGCACAGTAGAATTAATCTACTGCGCATTTAGCATCTTGTGTAGATGCACCCACTGAGGAGGATTTATGTCCTTCAAAGAATGGATTTGGATTACAGTCTGAAAAACTTCAGTATTTAGGATAGATTATAATAATTAGAATTGTAGTGATCGAATTACAAGCTCCATATAAAAGGAGTATGATAGCACTTATTACTTAGGTATGCTTACCTAATAAGTGCTGCACTTGCTGTACATGTTATGTCATTTGTTTTTTTCAGTATCAAACCAAAAGTTATAAGGCCAAGCCTTGTGTTAATGGTATAGAGAACTCCTTGCACATGTTTATATGTAATACATGCTCCAATTATTTTTAAAGAAGTAACTCTGGTTACACAGATTTTAGATTTTACCTCAAATCTCCATTAGATCTTGTCAGTCTAGAAGATAAACCCCTCCCCCACAAACATCCAGAAGACACCCCTAAATCATTTCAGCAGATATTAAAGGGTAACTCCTTCTGACATGTTTACACTAAGTTTTGTCCACTCTCTCGTTCTGGGAAGACCTGGGAAGTTGTCTATTATGTGAATCTTGGATTTCAAGAACCTGCTAGATTATTTAATAGCTGTGTTCCACTGATGTAGCTGACTGTTGTACTAACTGTATGACTGCATTGTCTGTAAAAATGTTTCTCCATTTCCTTTCAGGTTGGGAAGCTGATCCAAGAAGCAGCTGGACGGAGTAATTTGAAGAGAGTTACTCTGGAGTTGGGGGGGAAGAGCCCAAACATTATTTTTGCAGATGCTGATTGTAAGAAAGCTCTTGCACATTTACCTTAAAAACATGTTTGCATGTTGTCATTTTCTTTTCAATCTATATCTGTCCATTGAAAGTCAAGCTAACAAAGTAAACATTGAGGCTGCATCTAACCAAATTGTTAAACATTACTGTAACTGCCTATGGGTATGCTTTTTAAAAGGCTAACTTTATCTGTGGGGCTTCAAAGAGAACAGTAAAGTAAAACAAGGGTTAGAGCCAACCATGAATCATAATCAATGCCCTGCTACTCTGGTCTTAATTCGGGTGCTCCAGTACTCTAGAACTGGACAGTCAGTGACAGCTACAGGTAACTTAAAAGATAGAAGGGTTTACTGAATGAAGTCTGATAGTGGATAATAATATCAGTGCAGTACTCCTTTTGTTATGCATGTAATAGTAAGCATTACCTTACATTTCTCCTTCATTTTTTTATTTTTGGCATTTCAAATCTGTGCATTACAAATTGTCACAGGGAGATGGATGTTTTGGCAGTTGGGTAAGGGTGTGCAGCTGGGATTTTTTGGCACCTAAGAAGGTTCAGGCAGTAGTTTAGGGTTGTGGGAAGTTTCTGCTAAAATGGGAAGTTTCTGCTAAAATGATCAGCAATTAAATAGTTAACAATGTTGACATATGAATTGTAAGCAGGAGGTTTCAAAGTTAACACCCCATTAAGATGAATGGGGCAGTTCACACCTTGCCTGGAGCTCTTGTTTCAGGGTATGAGAAACTCACAACACTCTGCAGCTTTGGAGAGGTTTCTTTGCCACCAAAGGGAATAAGGCTTGAAAAAAGAAAGCAGTGCCATGTGTGGATCTGGGCTAGGCTACAAGTCAAGTTTGCCTTCAAAGCTCTCCTATGATCTCTAAAGATTAGGGTAAAGCTTAAAAACTCTCAGCTACCGTTGCCTTAAATAAATGGGAAAGATTTTTACCAGTTCTACTGGCCTAGGTCTGGTAGAACCCTGTATGTTAACACATGTAAAACCCTGTATATTTTTTCAAGGGGAAATAAGAGGCTTTTAATGTTAGCTTAAGCCCTTCCTAAGTGACAACACTAAAACCCAAAAGGCTATCTCACTGGAATAAGGGAACAGACACATCAAGAAGCTCATTTGTGGCAAAGAAGGGCAGGACTGTACCTTGCAGGACTGCTCTGTGGTAACTGCCCTTGTGCACACTTACTTGCTTGCATTTCCTGGGAGAAAGAGCATGCATATGACCAGTTACTGCAGAGCAGCTGAGGCGCAGGAAAGCTCTGCCATTTTTTGTCTCAGAGTCGTGTGTTCATTTGCTTGTGTCCAGTGTGTCTCCATGGGGGCTTATATCCAAATAACTCTTTATGGCTAAGTACAGACAGTCAAAAAGCGTGAAGCTGAATCAATTCAATCTTCACAGGTTAGTGTAAGGTGCATAGATTGAACTGATAAGCACGTAAACAGACATTCACTTTTGATTCTGGAAATGCAGCCACAGCCCTGCAAAGGCTCAGGCCAGAAGCCAGGGAGCACTAGCGCACACCTCCCTGCTTGTCTGGAGCAGACAGTCTGAGGCACAGCTAGCCTGCCCACCCTGCAATGTGGGGTTTGCAGGGGAGGTACAAAGCATCCTGGGATGCTGGGGAACTGTGAGTTAACTTGAATCTGGAGGGGATCTGGGACAGAATTTCAATAAACTGATTTAGCCTAAATCAGTTAAGTCTGATAATACATCCAACCAGGTTTATCTTAAACCAGTTTTGGCTATTTTAGAAAGTGGTTTATGTGAACTCAACTTCTGTTGTATTATAGATCTGAACTGCTGTTCAGTCACTTGTACCGATTTATGTGTAACTTCTGTTACTAGGCTATTTGCTTCAGCTCATACCTTAGATTACATCAAAACTTTGTCCCATGCAGATATATCCACAGGCTCACCCACAATTAAACCCGTGCAAACCCCTGTAGGTGCATTCCTACTTCAGTTTAAGAACAGTTTTTTTGGGTTAGTTCCAGCCTATTCCTAACTGTTCTAAATTAAGTTGAAATAAATGATTCAGACTGAAAATGTTCCTATACCTTTTCCACTTGGCTAACTAAAATGGTTTTAAATCATATTTTAAATTACATGTGTACCTGTCTGCATAAAGACAAACATTGACTGCATTGTACTGTCTGCAGTTGGATAACCCGATACAAGCAATGAATATAATAATTAATCCATAATTTTAATGTAACCACCTTGGACTGTTGTCAGTCTCTTGCCCAAATCTACAGTTTGGGCAATTCTCCTCAACTCGGAGAATTCAATGAACAATTTGTTCTTTTAAGCATTTACAACTGTTTATCTACCAGAAATGTTTCAGGAGTTTCTTCCCCATCTCTACTTTTATTATCCAGTAGGGGAAATTTGAATTTGAAGGACAGTTATTTCCACAGTTCACCATACAAAAAAACCTCTAAAAGAACCTAAGCAAGTATTTGCCTGTCTGCAAATATACTATGAAAGCTCAACTTGAGATACAAGCTACTGACCTATTATTTAAGAATTGTAGACAACTCAGTGGCTATTTCAAAGGCACTATTTGTTCTGTTTGCAGAACAATGTGAGCTTAAGTTTGCAGAAACTGAGGACAAGCCCATTGAAACTATACCATGCACTTCATGGTGCAAAACTGTGTTAAGGAAACAAAAAAGAAAGCAGTTAATCAGTCCTAAGCATTACTGGTTTCAGCCTTTTCCTGACTGTCAGGGAACAGGAGTTTCAAGCTTGTGGTGGAAATGGAATTACTTATTTAAAAAAAAACTGTTAAGCCGTGCTTTGAAGTACTGTAGCACGTTGCTACATAATAGGTTGCCTTTTTTAATCTTTAGAAAGGCTCATAAGGACCATTTCTTCCATACCCAAAAGAAAAAATTGACTCTGCAAACCAAATCCCATTTCATGTCTAATGTGTGTCCAAGTGGCACTTATATAGCCATGTAACTGCAACTTGTGGAACTTGAACACTGGATTCTAATTCCACCTATGATGGAACAGGATCACTCAAGTGTATACACACCTGCTGAAAGTGATAGAGAGGAGAAGGACTCTCCCACCTTTGGGCCCAGTTTCCTACTGGTTGGAGCTGTAGACCCAGCCCCCCCCAAAATTTCACTTGCCAAGAGGGGATGTGAAACTGTATATTTCTTTCTAGAGCAAAGTGGTCTAACCACCACTAGGTCATAAGCTGGCCATTGCCCAGACCACTCTCCAGTTTTCCTTTTGAATTCAGCCAGCTCACTGGGCAGCCAAGAAGGGAAGATGTATGCAGCCAAAAGTATGCTCAGTGAGATGGATGCTTCCCCATGCTCTTTGTCCAGTCAATATTAGATGCAAGGTGCAGAAAAGCCATTTGGACAGTGGCCAGAACCCAATTATGCAGCTATGTAAGTGCCACTTGGGCATGCAAAGGTGAAATAGAATTTAACCCTGTTTATTGTGCCTGAATTTTCCTCTGCTGTAAATAGTGTAAGTCCACTGAAGTCACCAGCACTACAGCAGTGTCAAACTGTATAAATGAGAGCAAAATCATGCCTTGTGAGTCTAAAGTATTTGATTTCTTAATGCATGCAGCTTGTACCATATTTTCACAGGAACTGCTACATAGGGCTACCATATGTCCTGGTGTTCCGACACATCCTCTTTTTTGGGTCCTCTGATCTCCATCGGGATGGTTGTTTTAAATAGGAACAAATGTCTGGGATTTTGCTGGTAGAACTGCATTTTCCGGCATGCCCTAGCAGTGGACATATTTACCAGGGATCCAGGTTTTCCATCTGCTGGTGGAAAATCACAGATTTTCCTCTTTAAAGGAGGAAAGCATGGGTTTCTCCTTGCAGGCAGGCAGCCTGCAAGGAGCTGCTTGGGGCGACTGGAGGCAGGGGGCGCCATGTGAGTCTGCACGTGCACACACATGTGGCTGGCATGCAGCCAGGCAGGGTGGTGGGAGCAGCCCTGACATCTGGATGCAGGTAAGTCTATGGAGGTGGGGGTGGGGTTTGGAGGGCCAGGGCTTGGGGACTGTCCAGGGGGAGGGGGGCAGGGGGGTGTGGAGGGGATGGGTGTGGGGGTGGGGCAAGTGCCTGCCAGCACTGGGGAAAGGTGTCTGGGTGCTGGGGCTGTGGCAGGGCAGGGGGGTAGGAGAGAGGCACCTGCCCCTGTGGCAGGGGAAGGGGGCGGAGAGGCCCTTTGGGGGTGCTGGGGAGCTGCACAGCCAGGCCAGCAGCACTAAGGCTAGTGCCCATGCTTGTAAGGGTGGGCACCTGGGAGACACTTCCTGGAGTGGCTATAACCAGGCCACCTGGCATGGCATGGGAACCCCAGCCCAGGACTAGGGGTGCCACATGTCTCCCCTCCTCCTGCCTCCAGCCTGCACCACCACCCACATGAACTGGAGCCACTGCAGATGCTATGCTCTAGCCTGGTCAGGATGGGGGCAGCTGGGGGCTACCTCTAGCAGGGCTGGGTGGAGCAGAGAGCTGTGGGTTGGGAGTTAGGGGCACCAGCAGGGCTAGGGATGCTGTGGCGTGGGAGTGAGGGGCTGTGGGTTGGGAGTATGGGGCACTGGCAATGCCAGGGGGCTGCATATTGGGAGTGAGGGGAAGAGGGGAAGCAACAAGGACGGGAGGCTGTGGGTTGGGAATGAGGGACACCAGCATGGCCGGGGCGGGGAGAGAGACTGTGGGTCGGGAGTGAGGGCCACCAGCAGGGCCAGGTGTCTGCAGGTTGGGAGTGAGGGGCAGCAGCAGGGACAGGAGCTATGGGTTGAGGATAAGGGGCACCAGGCGGGCAGGGGGCCTATGGGTCAGGAGTGTGGGGCACTGGCAGCACCTCCATCCCGTGCGACAGGTATCCTCTTTTTTTGGAACTGGAAATATGGTAACCTTACAGCTATGTGAAATGAAATGAATTGTCTTCAGTTATAGCACCATAGAATAACACTATGTCTGGGGTTTTTTTAACCAAATCCACTGCTTCTACTTTGAAATTATGAAAACACAATGCTAAGTAACATATATGATGATGGTGCCAGAGCAGTGAATTGTTTCATGGCAGCAAGTGGTTGTCTTGGTTTTGTAGTGGACTATGCTGTGGAACAAGCTCACCAGGGGGTTTTCTTCAATCAAGGCCAGTGCTGCACTGCTGGATCACGGATTTATGTGGAAGAATCGATCTATGAAGAGTTTGTCAGAAGAAGCGTTGAGCGTGCCAAGAGGAGAGTAGTAGGGAGTCCTTTTGACCCAACTACAGAACAAGGTCCACAGGTAAAGCAGGAACATCTTAGCTCTGCCGAGCCCAAGGCTAGAGTGAGCAGTGGGGCTCATTCTAGGCAAAGCATGTTTTGTAGCTGATGAACGCACATATTATGTGAGTGCACTGCCAAATTCCGTAACATTTTTTCACAGCAGCAAGGGATAGCATCTGGCCTTAAATCTATATTGTGCACTTCTAAGCCATGCAGTGATAAGACCTGTTGGATGGTCAGACTTCCACCAGTCTCCGCTGTAGCCTGTCATCCTCCAAAAAAAGTTATGCATATTGCTATGACTGTGAGTGTGGAGCTCCAAGATGGGTCAGTTTTGAACACCAGTTAGGCAAACTTAGAAAAAGATCCCAATGTCCCTGTTACCACAGCATCAGTCCTTTTTTGGGACATTTGTAAGACCTGAATCTGGGACAACTGAATTAAAAGCATCTCCCACTATTTTTGGAGTTCCAAAACAGGTTGATTACTAGATGGCAGTAGCAAAGTTATAAATCTTGGTAGATACGGCAGCCACCTTGGGGTGACAAAGTCACATGAAGCTTAATATGGGTTACAGTCTTCTTTGAGATGAGGAAGTCAGCAGGCATTTACAGGTTTTTAGTACTGTTCAGATTCAAGCCAGACTGAACATATGCTGGAGTCAAGGGGTGATAACTCGCAGACATGCTTGAAGTCTAATTCTGGCTTTTTAGTCAAGCATATTGACTACAACTGAAATAGCCCTTTCACCTTTTCAGATTGATAAGAAACAGTACAACAAGATCCTGGAACTTATCCAAAGTGGAATTACTGAAGGTGCAAAACTCGAATGTGGGGGTAAAGGATTAGGACGAAAGGGCTTCTTCATTGAACCTACAGTGTTTTCCAATGTAACAGATGACATGCGGATTGCCAAGGAAGAGGTATTCACACACCTGGGGCAAGATCATCATAAATTTGAATCCGAACAGGATTCAGTTTCTTCTGTTTATTTTATAAGTTGAAAATTTTAGAGTTGGAATTTATTGCTGTAAATGCAATATGCCTCCTGATACTCAATGGCTTGACTCTCTCAGACCTCTTTGTGGGCAAAAACATTTTCAGCAACTATCTGGGTAAAGAATCTCAACTTTTGTCATCAGCTGTAAAGTTCCAGAGTTCACAGAAGAGATAAGGAAGGAAGGAGGTTGATGAGTTTCATGGGGCAGCTGCTCTTTTTAAGGCTCTGCTTTGGGAAAGCTCACACAGTTTTACAGAGAGCTGTTACCACTAATAAATGTTGCTCTGGGAATTGGTAAAGAGTAAAACAGAGAAGGAAGACAGTTGAAAAAGCAGAATAAAACAGGGATAAAATACCTTTGACAGGGCTGTTTTACAAATTAATCATTAATCTTTGTTGCAGATCTTTGGGCCTGTTCAAGAAATACTGAGGTTTAAAACTATGGATGAAGTCATAGAAAGAGCCAACAACTCAGATTTTGGATTGGTAGCTGCTGTCTTTACAAATGACATAAACAAGGCTCTGACAGTCTCATCAGCAATGCAAGCTGGGACAGTCTGGTAAGACAGCAGCCACCCTGCATTCCAGCTATTGGAGATAAAGGGTTTGACTCACTCTTATTGTGTGACTCCAGTTTTCCACCCTTTGTGTTGAATTGTGTATCTAGAGTAACCCAGAGATTAATCAGGCTTGTTCTAGATAGCTAACAACTGTCAGGGGGAGGGAGGTAGTCCATTGTCACTCTGCCCACCTCACATGTACACTGTGTCCCTTTTCCCTGCTCTTTCTTTGTCTCTTTTGGATTGTAAACTCATCAAAAGATGGGAAAATACCTTCCTTTGTGTTAATGCAGCAGCTAGCCTGCTGATGGGCAGTGCTGAAAACAAATACTTCATAATTGTAATGTCCGTTGTTAGTTTCATATTTAAAAATCTTGTTAGTTTTTCTGCTGCCTGCCCCACAAAAAATCAGTTTCTGAAGTCAAAGTACATAAATCAAGAAAACAATAGGCACCCATTCTCTCCACTCCTGGGAATTGGTAAACCCACTTCTGAAGGTTAACAGCTTGTAATTTGATGTGTCAGATCTGGATAAATTAAAGATCCAAGAGAAATCAGGTTGAAAAAGACAACCTCAAATCTAATAGCAATGTGTTTAAATTGGGATTGAAACTTGTCAGCAAATTAACAGTTCATTACTAACACTGAATCCAAGCTATTTAATTCCTTCCTTTGGTCTCCCAAGGGCCCAATCCCGCTCTCTTCATGATTGAGCTTTAAAGTATACATTGATTTGATTATGATTTAAATATTTTATTATGTTAGGAATATGTTACTGCAAATTAAAGTATAGTAATTTCTGTCTGAGTTCAAATTGTATCTGTTGGATTTCCCAAATATATGTCTGACAATGCACCCAAATTTAATTTCTTTTGGCAGGATAAATTGTTACAATGCCTTAAATGCCCAGAGTCCTTTTGGAGGGTTTAAAATGTCTGGCAATGGGAGAGAAATGTAAGTATCAGGTTTGTAACATTCTTAACTTTTTCCCAGATATACAAGCCAATAAAAGTTAAGACATTCTTAGACTCCAAATGACATATGAAGATACTCTGATGGCATAGAGGGGGGAATATGGTATAAGATAATTGGTAGCTGTTCTGAATTGGGTATGTATTAGATTTCTATGGCACTGCTATTTTCCTGTGAGGATTTTTGGAACAGGAGGGTGAATTAATGGAACTGGCTTCTCATTCCTGAATGGATTGAAAGCATCTGTTCATACCAAAGGGACACATCTATACATGCGCTTTACTGCACAGTAGACTAATTTGCTGTGCACTTACACAGCAATTAGACTGCCTCATCAGATAGTTCCTTCAGACTATCTAATGGCAGAGTAAATTTCTCCGGTTAAACACACATGTAGATAGTGACATCCAGGTTAGTTTATTCTGGCTCAAATTGTGTCAGAGTTTATTCAGTCATATTAATTGCACATGTAGATGCACCCAAGCTGTGTGTTTCATGAGATCTGTCCTCAGGTGTATTAACAAGCAGTTTTCCAAGGTGAGCCATTGTTTGCTGTTTGTCTGCCCTATTTTTGCCTCCTTAATTGAAGCTCTAAGTATTTTTTCCTGCTTTTATTGTTTGCCACATTTTGCAATATCTGTATTTAATTAAAGTGCTATTTATCTCTTCTACATTTAACAACATGTTTAAATGAAATCAGGCCTTGATAAAGACAGACAACTGTATTTACACTCCTTTAAAAAAATCACCTTCTATTCCACAGTATTTCTGCCTTCTTCCTTATTCCAACTGGAAGTAAATGTCTGATCTTTTGGAATGGAACCCCACCTTTAATCTTCTTCCTACTATAACTAAATTAAAGCCCTACTAATACTTAGTCCTCATGGAAATCACAAGTTTTATGTTATCAATAGTGTAAGTACCATATCTGATTATGTATTTTTAATATACATGCTTAAAAGGTAAGGTTCACCTCTGTGTAGGGGGTATATGTACTGCTGAAGTCCAGCTTAGGCCTTCTAAGTATTTTATGGCTGACTACAAACTCAGCAGTAAAATCCAAATAAACTCTTTAAAACTATAAATATGTGACATATAAAACTTGAACCATAAAATAGGCTCTTTACAACTGGAAATATTTTCCCTCATTAAGCATCACTTTATATAAATCATTCTTTACATTCATGAGTTATGAGGTGAGCTAAAATCCAGCATAAATATTTCAGCCCATCTAATTCTTATCATCATGAAAATATTCTAAAAATACTGATCTTGACAGATTACATACTAACAGAATTCACAAGAGTGACCTTCTTGACTATCTATATGAGTAAAAAAGTGTGTGCAAGTTTTGATTTTTCAGAGGCACAGAGGAAAGTTGGCACTGAACTCTCAGTGAAAATTAGTGAGAGTTAGACACATGATTCCCTTTTGCACCTTTGAAAATCTCTCCCTTATAATTAATGTTTAGGTTCGATAATAATATCTCCCCCAGAATGACACCTGTTAACTCTCTTCTGAAGGACCATTCTGCTCACATAAGAATCTCTTTGATCAGTTATAGTTCATCATGAATGCTATTTCTCCCTTGTTTTTTCTCTCTGGGTATATCCATTCACATACACACACAAATACACAGTGCCAGCTAAACATGGACAATACATCCTGGTGCTTTAAGGAATACATTTGCCAGCCCAAATATTAGTGAGCTACATACATGCATTAGAAAAACAGGAGTAGAACAAGAGGTCCTAGCTGCGTTGCCTTAATATTACAGTAACAGTGGCTTGGTGTGTTTTTGCATTTAATATCCTTTTGAAAAAAAATCAAGAATTGAGACCTGTTACCCCAGTTTCACAGTCTCTTTGCACCAAAGTTTGTGACTAGTCAAGGTGCAAAGCAGTGGAGAATCAGCTCCAAAGATATTGAAGTGACCCATTGTTAAAGGGGATCAGGTGAACTACAAGTAGCCATTTTAAATTAGAAATGTCCCAAAGACAGGTTCTGGTCTGAGTCCAGTCTTCTGCGAAGTTCAGTTTTGCTTTATACCCACCATTTACTGCCATGTAAAGCTTTCAAAGCAGTAGAACTTTCAGCTTGGGCTCGTGTTACAAGGTACAGTGTATACAGTCGCACTGCTCAGAAACAGCTCAGGAAAAAATAGGACTCTAAGTCACATTCTTAACCTTGATCATCTGTTGTTCTTGAGCTGAGGAGGCTGGATATTAAATTAATTCAGTCCCTATGGAAGTGCATCTTATTCCTTCCCTACTTAAGGGAATGCCTATCCCTTACCCATAGTCTCCTTCTCAGGTGTGCAGCCACTGTTGTCTCCCTGGTCCAAGAACAGAAGTCAAATTAGGTGTAATGTGGCCATGAAGTAGGACAGTGATGACAAACTCTTTGGCAGGCATGGCACAAATTAGCCCCACATCTTCCCCAAGTTCTACTCTGATCCCATTCCTCTGCATGGTCTGCTGCTCCACTTTCTGTTCCATACTCTGAGCGCCCTGCCCAGTCTCTTGGTCTGCTTTCTGGTTTTGGCCTTGTGCTCCCTGCTTGATCTCTTGCTCTACCTTCTGCTTTGCAGCCTACTCCCTCACTGATCTGTTGCATGCTACAAACAGAGCCTACCTATACTATCTGTGGCACAGGTTGGCCACCCCTGCAGTAAGGCATCCTTACTGCCCCCTGCTTCTCTGCAGGGCAGTAGTACATTGGAGGGACTACCTAGCCCTATGTCTGAACATGCAATTATCTATCTACTCCAGAAAACTGTGTGTCTGGAATAACCAAGCTACCTGCTCAACAGTAACATTATGACAGCTTTCTCATGCTCTTGCAAACACCGTCATTGGGAGTCTTACTTCTGTGATTACTTTGGCTGTATCAGACATACTGATTGGCTTATAAAAGAGAGAATCAATTAGCAAGTACCTTCTAGGGCTGTGCAAAGTTTTGGGGGCCGAATCTCCAAATCTGAACCGAATCAGAGGACTCTTTAATCTCTCTGAATCAAATTGAAACCCTCCAAATTGATTCAGAGAGATTCGGAAAGATTCAGAAAGATTCAGCAATTCAGACACAGACACAGCTTTAAATGTTTTTTCTACATTCCTGAACGCTGCGATGCTGGGGTGCATGGGGTGTCCCACAGAAGTGTGGGGAGCTCCCCAGCATGCTCAGCAGCAGACCAGGAAGTGGACCAGAAGCACTTCTGGGTCCGCTGGGGAGCACGCAGGGGGGGCCCCCGTGCCCCCACCCCGGCTTGGCAACTGGTGTCCCCTGGGTCTGGGGGGGCACCCGGGGTCCTCCCATGGCCAATCGCTGAACTGAGGAGGTGCGGGGGGAGGGAGGGTCCTGTGTGCTTCCTGGCAGACCTGGAAGTGGACTGAAAGTACTTCCAGTCTACTTCTGGGTTTGCCGCTGAACACGTGGAAGCCCCCCCACACCGTGGGTCAGTCCATCTGCCCCAGCATCGCAGTGATCGCAAGCCGCGCTGGTACCTTGAGGTATGTAGAAAAAACTTTTAAAGCTGTGTCTATATCTGAATCGCTGATTCTCTGAATCAGCATCAAATCTTTAGATTTGGGTTTGGCCGAATCGAATCAGGGACAGTGATCTGAATCAATTAATCGATTCACGGCCCCTGATTTGGGCTGAATCCAAATCCAAATCCAAATCGAATAGGGCTGGCTTTGCACACCACTAGTAGCTTCACAGCACCTCACATTTACCTACCTCTTGCAGTTTAAAATAGAAAATGTGTTTAAGGCCCCTATTACTGAAAAGAAGTTGACCATAGATATGTTTAACTATGTTTGCCAGACTAGGACAAGACACCAGCTGGTAGCTGGCAGGTACATAAAGGCACTGTATTCTACCCTGGCTGGGTTAACTATTCACTTACAAAAATGTGTCCAACAGGTGTTTGGAGCCAAGTTTCAGCCCTGAATCAAACAGAAACTTTCACACAAAGAGACTTATTAGCATTAGTGCCTAGGCTCCACGCAGCTCTGTGACAACCTCAAGTGAACCATGGTTCTGTGGCTCAGCCAAGTTTGATTAATTAACTGGTTTGGTCATTCTTTGGAAGACAAAACTGAGACTTTCCACTGAAGGTTGTGGGGATTTGTCCAATTCAAACTTTAATTGTAAAAAATCTTCATGAGTACCTTTCCTTGCCTATACTTAGCTTCTTGTAATTGATACGCTGCCTACTGGAACATCAGGCTGACTGAGTAAAATATCAGCTGGCTAAGTCAGGTGTAAAGTTTACTGTGCCAAGAGGCATCCTGGAAAGGGGTCAGAACTGCAGGTGGAGTAGAATGGCCTGATGAATATTAACATTTCATCAAATGAATTAATGCTCCAAGAGGAGATTAGAGGGGTTGCACTGGGAAAAACTTTCTGTGTAAACTCTGTGCTTTGGAAGTAAATTCTAAACAAGCTGTGCAGCATTAGGCACAGACCCAGAGGTTTAAAGAGGGCAGCCTCATCCGATTCTGAAAGGGTGTTCAGGGGAGTCTGCTGTGGGCACGATTAACATGAGACGCTAACTGCACAGGAGCCTAATAACACTGCACAGTAGCATGCCAGGCAAAAAACAATGCTAATATGCTATTGCACAGTAGTATCAGGCTACTGAACAGTAAGCACCACTGAAAACTTGTGTCAGCACTACCACGTAGTAGCATGAGTTACTGCGCATTGATTTAGTACTTCGTTAACCAAGTACTAAATGTAATGCACTGTAACTATGGTACATTAATGAACATGTAGATGCACCCCCAGAATATTTGTAATGGTGCATATTCTGCATAGCTGGATATTGAAAGATGGCAGCACAAAGTACCAACACACTAATATGAGGTCCACTGGCAGGAATTCTCCAGCTTTTCTTCAGACAAATAAAGAAGCTGTACGAAGTATAGAGTCTTGCTGGGGAATTTCTAAACAAGAAACAAATGCCCCTACAAATGGGTAGGAAAATGCTAGTACTGCAATTTGCTAGACTGAAGAGATACTCCATTTATACATTTGTGGCAGGAACTGTCCTTTGTTTTATATATGTAAGGTACCCTGCATACTAGAACCCCAATCCCTGATTACAGCTTCTAACCACTATTATAATATACATATCAAATACTAACTTGCCAATCACTCCAAATATATGCAGAGGAAATTTAAAAAGCTGCTTGTTGGAGAAAAAGAGTGAAGAGTCACACTGTTGACTCCAAAGAATTGTCCCAGAGAAGACATAGGACAGATATTGCAGAAATATCTACTGAGAGCCAGGATAGTGCCAATTTTTTACTATCATTTATCCAAAGCAGAACTGAATCTCAGTGGATGAGATTTAGAGAGTGCTTTACTCCAGGGATTATATGGTCTGCTGGGTCTCACTTTGCCAGGTCTAAAGAAGCATGTCTAGCTATGGGAGTCAGAGCAGGTTGAACACTTCATCTAAGTAGGCGCTAATGCCTAAGTTCCTGCTTCACCCCATCCTGTGTAACTGATGCTACCTGCCTTCCCCAAATATTGGGCAGAAACCAGTCGTAGAAAAGAAAAAGGCAGGTAAGGGAGCTAGTGCATGTCTAGTTTAGGGATGTTTGATTTCCATGGCATTCAGTTGCTGGCCTTTCTTTCTAAAGCGGGAACATGGGGGCTAATTGTGCTGCTGAAATATTACCTCTTAGCACTCGAATGTTCTTCCAAGCCCTGGCAAGGCTGAAGGCCATCAATTCATGTTACTGCTGCAATCCTAGATTGGACTGTACAGTGGCTCTACCTCCTACCAAACACATCTCTGTCTGTCCTAAACTGGAACTTGAAATTCAGGGTTTTTTTAGAAATGATCCTTAATTAAGTATAAAGGTATGTAGTATAATAAACTGCCTGTGCCTGGGCCTGGAAGTTATGCATCATGATTTCATCTGCTTTATATTATGGATACATAAAAAAATGGGCATGTGCCGATAAGCTACAATTTTGTGTTCTAGGGGTGAATGTGGACTGAGAGAATATTCTGAAATTAAAACTGTGACGATAAAGATTCCTCAAAAGAATTCCTAAGAAGACAAACACCGTGTTGTGCAGGACAGCACATGATGCCACCCTTTGTATTCCTTTGGGGACCAGCACTCAGGAATAAAAGCATTACACAGTATATATTTAAGAAATTAAGATACAACATATATAACAGGCACATAATTGCATAAATAATGCAAAGTAACTTTGTGTGGTTTCATAGCACTCCACTGAGAACGTTTTTCCCTAAATCATATGCCAAGAGCTAAAATTGTGATTGAAGACTACATAAGAAGTGTTCCAGTTATAAAACTGTTACACACCCAAATACACGCACACTTTTTTCTCTATAAAAAAGGCAAGTTGTTTTAAAATCGCCTTCTCAAATAGGGCAGCCTTGGCTGAGATTCTTATTCTATATGGGACTTTGGGCCCACAGTTCTAACAGTGAGCAATTTACCAAGTCTTATGGCTGTTCGTTAAAAGCCAAAAATGAAATATTTTGAATTGGAGCCAGCCAATATTGGTACGCTGGCAACTTTCCAACTAGCATGATATTGTGAAGGGGTCAGGCTGGGGGGAGCTACATTTTTATATAGTTTATGGCAATCTGAAAGGATACTTATCAGTGAGATTTGGTTTCTGTTGAACACACAAGCCTTCTGATTTTTCACAGCTTATCCTAATAAATGTTTTACATCTTTTCTATATAAAATCATCCCTCACTTAGAATGTTCAAATTTTTTTTTTACCTGCCTGCCAAAAGAGCATGAGGATGGTGGAAAGGGATCCCAAAGGCTTTACAGAAGTATTTCAGCTTTTATTATTTGCCTAGCTTTTATTTTTAATGAAATATCTGCATAGACAGACTCTGCAGGATCCTCAGCCAGCAACCCGCTCATGATTACAGCAGATGTTTCTACTTTAGCCAGCTGGGAAATTGTGACATGTATTCATTAATGTTGGAAGAACTTGGCAAAAACCTTCCTGACAGGCGAGTTTGCTTGATTTTATGTTTTCTTATGAAAAGAAGGCTTGCTGTCCTCCCTATGCTTGCAAGCCCAAGGAGAGCTTAATTGCTGCTACTGTACTTTTTAGTTATACCCACTCTTGTTCTAACACAGCACCAAAACAAGAGCAGGCCTGTTGAAGAGTGAGACTTTTACAATACAGTGTCACACCAGTCCCTGCCTATGGAATCCCTGCTGCTCCCCCTTCTGCAGTCTTTTCTTCTTTCCAGCTGCAGACTTTACTCAGTCTCCAGTTTCTCATTTGTTTGCCTGCTTGCTTTTTGTTTTGTTAATTTAGAATAAGAACATTTATTTAAAAGTGCAGCAAATAGTCTACTGTACCTATATTACACGGAGTGTAAGGACAGAATTATAGCTTCATGTGTTTATCAGTTTCTGCTTTCTAACCATATGCTCCGTACTTCAAGGTGCTGAGCACTGTAGGCCTAATTCAACACACCGTTCGGAATGTGCTCACCTTTTTTGACTTGTCAACTTCAGAGGGATTACTCGTGTATTTGAAGTTAAATATCCTTAAATGTTTTGTTGGATCAGGGCCTTAGAGTGCTCTCAGCACCTTGCAGTGTTGAGCCTCACAAGCGTTTTGTATTTATAACTCATGTCAGTTCTTCGTGTGTGTTTAAAGCAATATGTATACATGATTAATAAATGACAAAACATTCACAAACATGGAGATGAAACAAAATAACAAAGTATTCCTGAGCTGTTAAATGTGAATGTCATGTACTCCTGCTGTAGTATGTCAGAATGAAAAAAAAATACAGCAACTGACAAATTAGTTAACGTTCTAACTGCAATATAAAATGTGAAAAGGAGATTTTTTATTTCTTTTTTGCTATTTAGTCTTAAAAAATACCTTCTGTGCTAGCAATAAGCATTTATACTGTATACTCTTCTGTATTATTTTTGTGTGGTTTTGTATGTCTCTGTGTACTTCAAATAAATTCAGGTAAATAATATACAACTGCCATTTTTCAGCTTTGTCACTGTAGCTGCTTTTGATGTACATGAGTTTCTGAAAAATCTTTTTAATGTACCAACCACACGTATTCAGCATTTTTTCCCAAACTCTGCAGTTTTTGTTCCAGTTTTTAATCATGTATATAGTTATATGTTATTAAAAAAGTAAAAGGATATGAAATATTTTCTATGAAGTTTTTCCATTAAAAAGGTTTAGAGAAAGACTTTGCAGCTTGTGAGAGTTCTTTGTTGTTGAAGAGGCTAGAAGAAAAACTTATTACATTATTGAAGGAGCTGCTCTCACAGTAGCTTTATTTTCATTTGCAAAAGTGGATGAAGTAAAAGGCCAATTATGTTTTTTGGACTATTATTGCAGCTGTATGGAAAAAAAACTGTGAATTGCAGATCCAGGTCACAGCCAAAGTTCATCCTCGCCCTCTGTGGTCATAACATTTAGCTATCAGTGAATGTCTGAAATCATTTGAACCAGTGGGGCATCCTCGCAAACTGTTGCATCACAGCTTGAGTTTTGGATAAAGTTTAAAAAAATGATGATGACTTTTCTTTCCTCACCAGATGAGTCACAGAGATGATTAAATTAACACCAAGATAATTTATGGACTGATATTTTACAGGCCTTTGGTCTCTAAATCCTAAAGTTGAAAAATCAGGCTGTTTGTCTGTTTATTTAACAAGGAGTACAATTAAGGAGTCCCTTAAATTTCACAGATATTTTTTATTGCCAAGAACAGTGTTCATCTTTGGGAAATTTTCCTATTGCGACAATACAGTAGTTAATATTACCTTAGTCTGTTCTATAACCAATGCATAGGCTTTATCCTAAATACTTGAGAAATGTTATTTATTTAAACAGCTCATGGGAACCTAGCTGGATTAGAAAAAAAGAGGAAATGCTGATGAAGTAATTCTACTTTTGGAATTGCAGTTAAGTTGTATTATATATGAAAGAGACTTTGTTATTGAAAATCTTATTGAAAAGCCTTAGAAATCAGGAATGTATTAAGTAAGCATAGCAGAACATCGCTTCTACTTCCTTTAACTAGTAACAGGGTGCCTATACACGAGCAGCGAGGCTGCTTTGATGCGCTGTAACTACAGAGCTGTAGTTACAGTGCATCAGAGCAGACTCAATTAATTGAACAGACTCAATCAATTAATTAAGTCTGCTGGAGCATGGTAATTGCCATGCTCTAGCAGCCTCCAGCGTCTCATGTATCAGGGTCCCATGCTTCAAAATGCCAGTGGAGGCGCTTTATCTAAAGCTTTTTTGGCAAGCTTTAGATAAAGTGCCCCCACCACCATTTTGATGATACACAAGACACTCTGGCTGCTTATATTAGAGTGGCTCTGAGAGATTATATAATTAGAAAGCCACTCCAAGAGCCACTCTAAGTAAAGTGCGCGCCCCCCCCGAGCCCATTTATAAATGCCCAGAGGTAACCCCTTCCAGTGGACATTCATTTGGATAATCAACATTTTACATTGTACCTCAGAATTAACAGGTATCCTGTTCAGCTAACTGTAGCAGGAACCTAAAGCCTCACTGCCCTGAGCAGGTTACAAGTTTCTTGCTTGACCACAAGCAATTGATAGTATATACAAAGCAAAATAAAGGAGGTGGGGCCTGTTCCTGCTCCTACTAAAGTTGGTGGGAGTTTTGTCATTTAACATCAGTCTAAGCAGGATCCAGTCCCTGTGTGCCCTAATTAAAACAAGCCAAGCTAACAAATGATAAATCAGTATGCCTGTACCTTCCAATCCCATACAAGTTGTCTACCTGTACTTCAAGAAGGCCTTTAACACAGTTTTTCACCCCATTCTCATTAAAAAAATAGGCGACTGTGGCATTGATGCCTACACAGTCAGATGGGTGGCAAATTGGCTAGATGGTCGCACCCAGAGAGTGGTGGTGGATGGATCATTTTCAACCTGGAGGGATGTGGGCAGTGGAGTCCCCCAGGGCTCAGTCCTGGGGCCTGTACGGTTCAAAATCTTTATCAGCAATCTGGAGATGGGTGTGGAAAGCACGCTGTCCAATTTTGATGATGACACCAAGATGTGGGGTGAGGTGGGCATGCTGGAAGGGAGGGACAGAATCCAGCTAGATCTAGACAGGTTACAGAGGTGGGCGAATGAGAATAGGGTGGAAATTCAACACAGACAAGTGCAAGGTGCTGCATCTAGAGGGAAGGAACCAGCAACACACCTATAGGCTGGGGAACTCCCTTCTCAACAACACAGTGGCTGAAAAGGATCTTGGAGTCATTGTTGACTCCAGGATGAACATGAGCCACCAATGCGAGGAAGCGGTCAGTAAGGCTAACTGCACCTTGTTGTGCATCTACAGATGCATCACAAGCAGGTCCAGGGAGGTGATCCTTCCCATCTATGTGACATTGGTCAGGCCACAGTTGGAGTACTGCATCCAGTTCTGGGCGCCACACTTCAAGAGGGATGTGGCTAGCATTGAGAGGGTCCAGAGAAGGGCCACTCACATGGTCAAGGGGCAGTGGGGCAGGCCCTATGAAGAGAGGCTAAGGGGCCTGAACCTATTCAGCCTTTACAAGAGAAGGCTAGGAGGGGATCTGGTGGCCATTTACAGACTCACCAGGGGGAAACCAGTGGAAATTGGGTGAGGCTCTGTTCCCTTGGGCACCACTGGGGGTTACTAGGAATAACAGACTCAAATTGTTAGAGAGAAGGTTCAGGCTGGACATCAGGAGGAGTTACTTTGTGGTTAGGGCTACCAGGCTCTGGAATGGGCTCCCAAGGGAGGCGGTGCTCTCTTCTACCTTGGGGGTCTTCAAGAGGAGGCTGGATAGATATTTGGCTGGGGTGTTATAACCCCAGCACTCGTTCCTGCCCAGGGCAGGGGGTCGGACCTGATGATCTGTTTAGGTCCCTTCCGACCCTAAGCACTATGAAACTATGAAACTTATCCCACAGAGCTTACAGTCTATCTAGAGAAGAGGGGGAAAGTGATAATGGAGGCACAGAGCAGTGACTTGCCTAAAGTTACACAGCAGCTCAGTGGTAGAACCAGAATAAGGTCTCCTGAGTCTGAATCTAGAATTTCCTCCATCATCTTTCTCCAAGTGATTGAGGGGGACAGGAGAGAGTAAGACCAACCTATGGAAAAGAGTACAAGAACTAACACTGGTGACATAGAACCCAGGCACAAAAATAATAATTGAAGGGGAAAAAACTAAACAAAGACAGGAGTAGTGAAGCACGTGAGGGTATATCCATGAATAATTTCATCTGAATGCCAGGAAAAATTTCCCATGTGTGATCTATTTGAGATCTGAGATTGTGCCCTGGGTACCACTAAACTGTAATCCCCAAGAATCCTCTCTGCTTGGGCTAAAGACAAAGGAAGCTTGCATCACTGATGCACTTCCCAGAATGTTGTCATAACCTTCTCTGATGCTGTTAATTAAAAATACAAAAGGATGCTGTTTTAAGGGTGAGGCTCATGCTCAGGTTGCCTGGAGGGAGAGCTGCTAAATAAACCTAGATTTTTGTAATAAAAGTAGTGACACACTGTAAGAAACTCTCAATGGGCAGAAGTCGCACAGGCTGCTGAAGTAATCCAAAAGAGTGTTTGTGAAATGTTTGTGCTGCTGGCAGGCAGCGCATTGCCAGGATAGATCACACATCATGCATTTGCACATCAAATGAAGCTGGCCTGGTCTGAGAGCATGGGAAAGGCCTGTCTTGAACGGCATGTGTCCTACTTCCTAAACATGTATATTTT